GGTACGCACTCCTCCTCCGGCACCTGGGACACCCGGGACGTGTGCACATGCTGTTCCCTGCTCTTCCCAGTCCTGCCGGGCACATTCCTCCCTCGCTCGTGGCTCGGCGTCCCCAGGGGCTCCTCGCCAGTCGCTTGCTCGGCAGCCCCACCTTCTCCCCCTTGTGGCCACTCAGCCCTTCCCACAGCGTGTCCTGAGCCGTCTGCGGGACTGTCCCAGGAGCACCAACGCCTCGGGCACCGGCTCAGCTGCCGGGGCCTCACAGGGGCCAGCAAACAAATCCTCTGCCCACCTGAGGCCTACACCCTCCCACAAGGCAGGAGACAGACCCGGAGAGAGGCGCCCGGGGGGGTGGACAGCAGAGCGGGCTGGTGGCGGGCGCTTCTCCCGAGCACGGATGAGCCACGTGAAGGACTTCTGCACTGAGCCTGCAGGCCAGCAAAGGCCGAGGCCGGGCCCAGGGTGCGGTGAGCAGAGCAGAGCCAGCAAGGGGAGACTGGAAGGAGCGAGGCAGTCGCCTGGGGGGGGGGGGGGGGGGGGGGGGGGGGGGGGGGGGTCACGAGAGGCTGTGGGAAAGGGGCAGGGATGCCGTGGGGACGAGGACCAACAAGGGCTCTCCTCGGGGCCTGCCCACGGCCGCTTTGTCTTGAGAAAACAACGCGGGGCTTCTGTGGTGGTTCGGGCGAAAGACTGCGGGGTGGGCGGAGGCGGGGAGAGTGGTTTGATGCAGGATACACTTTTAAAGCTGATGTAACAGGGCTTACTGCCTCCCACTCGAGTTGAAGCCCCTGGAGGGCAGGGACCATAAGGGTCTGCCGGGTCCACGGCTGCATCGTCAGCACGTGACACGCCGCAGATGTCCACAGATATTTGCAGAATGAATGAGTGAAGGAAACACGTGTCCTCCGTCCCGGCTGAGTCCCTGCTAAACCAGGCGGCGGCCCCGGGGTGGGTCTTGTAACGCACCCACTGGGTAAACAAGTAACAGCCGCTAAACTCCGCTCCCCCCCTTCCAGCCCAGAGGCCACAGAACGTTCTCGGGCGAGAGACAAACTGCAAAGAAAGACGTGTTTGAATTCAAATGCGTGCGTCCTCTCCTCCCTAAACATCCTTCCAGAAACCCCAGCCCTTGCCGCCCTGCCACTTGCCATCAAGCGGCCGCTTCACGGTGGCACAGCCCATAGCTGTGCGGCCGCCCAGGGACAGGCTCCCTCGCCTGAGCCGTGCGGCATCACCGGAGCGGCCCCGGCAGCAGACACCAGCAGGGGCCTCACCCACGCGGGGAGGCGAGACGTCTCAGGGACCCGTCCTCACAGGCGCCCTCTCCTGAGGCAGGCGCAGAGGCCTCGGCCCTCGGGTGCGAGCATCAGTATGCGCCTCGCTCCTGACTTTTCGGGTGATCCAAGCCCCACCTCCAGAGCCAGGCCCTTCTGACGACTCCACGGGTTCGGGAAAGCGACCGTCTGGACCTGTGTCCAGCCTTCTGGCATCCTCAGGAAGGCCTTCTCCGATCCCCGTCTCTCTGTGGGACTAGAACCTGCGCGTGACACTCCCCATGGCAAAGTCTGGGTCAAGGCCGGCCCAGAATGCAGTACTGCCTTTCTCTTCTCTCGGCAGTGGAGGAAGCTCCTGAGAGCAGGGGATCCCCGGCCAACACCAACACGCCCATGGCTGAAGGGCAGGTGCTGTTATGCCTCCTTGATTCACGAGTTAGGAACGAGGGCCGATCAACGTACTTACGGGGCCGCTGTGCACGCGCCAGGGGGGAACCGGTGACGACGGGAGCTGGGAAGGAAAAGCGTCCAGGTATGGAAGCAAGGGAACTTAGGTGCGTGTGTGGCAGGCACGGGGATGCCAGCGAAGGCACCATCTGGAGCTGGGTGCTGTCCTCTTGGGTCATGTCACAAGCGCTATGAGCACCCGCTAGATACCAAGAAAAAGTGGCCAGGACAATTTTGCAGGGCTTAATTCTGTGTTTTCAAATAGTCTCCACATTGAGGGTAGATAGGGAATGCCTCTCTCGGGGGATGTCTTTCTGATGTCCTTCACCAAAAGGGGGATTGAAAAGAACCGGTATAAGGGCCTTCACTCCGACAAGCACTGAGCAGAGCGTGGCTGTAAAACGCGGTACGTAAAGGCAGTCTCGCCCGGAGGGGACAGCTGCCACAAGCGCACCTCACTGTCCCCCTTGAGCCCCGTGAGGCTCTCCTTCCATGCGGCACCAACACCATGAGGCCCCAGAGGAAGACGCAAGCCTCTGAAGGGGACCCCACATGCCTACCGAGTGCCCCCTACAAAGACCGCACACAACCCTCTGTGGCGGACTCAGACGGGAAGCTTCCACAAGACCTGAACTGACGAAGTCCTCGCAGGGACCGGCTAACCAAGCAGAGAAACAGCAGTGAGGCTCGCGACCGGAGGAATAAGGAAGAGGGGTCCGTTTCAAAAGCAGCCCAAGAGCTCAGAGAAGGGGGCAGCGGCATCACTGGAGACGCTCGCAGGCTGGTGCTCCCTGCGGGCACCCAGGGCAGTGATTAGGAAGCCTGTCGGGCACAAGGGGCTCGGGGGGCTGCCCTCAGCAAGAGGGGCCGAGGACCCTAAGGATGTCAGTGCCACCCAAAGGAGGAGGACACTGTGACACCAGCACTGCGTGTGTACGAGCTCGTCCAGCATTAATCACATATAAGGGATGATGTCGATCTCCTCCTTTCTCTCAAAGCAACTGTGCAAGTTTTCCACTGGGGCAAAGCCTGGAACGCCCCAAGGGTCCCCTCAGGGAGTGAGGAGCGGACTAGAGACGAGGGCTGTGCCTCAGGTTTGGGGTCCTTTCACGGGGCACAGAAACGACTCCCAGCTGCCTGGGGGTCACTACTGAAACCCATACGGTCTCCACAAAGGAGGGCCGGTCGCTCTCCTTCTTAGCGCGGGAGGCAGTGCGTGCGCTGTGCTGGGAAAACACAGGCCTGCTCTGAACCCCCTTCTGCCACCCACTTGCCAGGTGATCCTGGCAAGGCTTAGTCCCCCTGCGCTCCCGTTTCTTCATCTATAAAACGGGCGCCAACATCACTGCCTGACCAGGGCGTAAGGACTAAATACGACCGTGCGGGAAGCCTTAACCCAGGTATGCCCCACCTTAAGCTCTTAGTTTTTAAAGGTTTGCAGACACAAGTGCTACAGACACTGATAGAGGAAATAAAGCCTAAAAATAGACGTCTAAATTAACAGAAAGTATTTTCAGCCACCGGAGACCTGAGGCTGCTGGAAAGGCAAGAGCGGACGACTCTCCTTTTCCTCCTCCTCTCTACACCCCTGCGTGCCCTGACCTGCTCTAAGAGCTGAGAAGGTGAGGCCCCTGGCTCCGTGGCCAGGCACCACACATCTGTTGCAGTCTGCATGGATGCAATCCTACCCTGCATTCTGGGTTTGGATAATTTAATGGAAAGGGGAGGGGAGACAAGGGGAGAGGAGGGGAGGAAGAGAGAGGGGAGAGGGGAGAGAGGGAGAGGAGACAGTGTGAGCCCAGGACGGCACACTGGCACACTGCTCAAGTCAAGGTAAGGTGGGTGGAGGGGAAGGGCCAGTAGCTCCCTAGACACCTGCTCGTGTAGAGGGAGATGTTCCTAGCACTGCCCCTGGTGACTCCCACCAGTAGTGCCCTGCTTTCTCCTGAGCGAATGACAGGTGGGAACGACCTCATCAGTCTGCATGGCCAGCTCTCCCTCCAGCGGGGAGACCATACCACCCAGGCTGTGACACATGCTGGGTGACACCCAGCAAGGAGCTGGGCGACAAGGCCCATCCGGCTGCCCTCGGGGCCATCTTTGCCGCATTTAACCAGGCCGGGTCTCCCCTTCTTTGAGAGTGGGTCCCATTCTAGCAGGGGCCAATCAGATGCTCTCATTTGGGAACCTGGAAGGGAGATTCAAGTCCTAGTTGGTGGAAGTCCTCTGCTGGATGCTTCGACTGAGGCCAGGGAATCCTGGGGCTGTGTGGCCCACGCGAGCACACACACATCTGCGTGGTGGCAGCCAGTGCCGCAGAAGGGCCAAGCAGAGCCTGGCTGGTGGGGAGAGGGGGAGGGCGGGGCAGCTGTTATGGGAACTATCAGAAAAACAGTCTCCGGTAGAACTCTACTTAGGAACCTGATGGCAAATTTACAGTTGGAAAATACAAAAATCTAAAATTTCAGCTCTATCCCTGGGCCCCAAGAACATCATCTATTAAAAATATGTGGTCTAAGAAACGTCCTCAGCAACTGCAACCAGGTGCCCTCAGATTCCAAGTCAGTACATGACATTTCGTGTCTGCAAACAGAAGACAGCGGGGGTACCAGGGACCTCTCTAAACAGCAACTGTGCACACTCTCGGGGATCCTCAGAAAACCCCTCTGTGGGCGTGGTGAGCTCTAACTAAATTCAAATGTCCACCCTGCTTTGCCCTGATGTTGCTGTAATGCTGTCCTGAAGCTGGGACCCTCGTCTCTCTTTGCTGCTGCGTGTTCTGGCCAAACACTCGGGCTCTGCGGAGGCTTGGCCCGAGGTTTTAGAGCAGCCATAAGGACAGGTTGGCTTATCGGGCTCTGAAAACCATCACCAATATGGACAAGACAAGGCTCCTGGAAGTGTCCACGTGCCGCGGGCCCTATCTTTTATGAGATCACGAGACCACCGGTTTGATTTCGGCCTAATGCTTAAATAAAACACACCACTGTTTTAGGTGACAAAATGTGCTTGCTGACAATGGCTGGACAAAAGCTTACTGTGTTTGTTTTTCTTCTCTGGTAGAGGAGGCGGTTTTTCCGGGTCACCCGATGATTCAGGAACGGTGAAGTCACCCACAAACTCGACAGAGGCTGGGGACCCTCCTTGCTGAAAGGGGAGAACAGCAGCAAAGGGCGTGAAGGGGACAGACGGGGCCGAGGCTGGGTTCTGCAGGTCAACCTCAGAGATGTTGTCGTATTGCGAGGGGTGTCGCTCATAGGACACCCTGCAGCCAGAGCTGTCCGTGGTCTGCGAGGCCGCGCTCCTGCGCTTCTTCTCGGGGAGGGCAGGCGGCATGTCCATCTGCTGTCCTGGAGCTGAGGACCCCTCTTGCTGGGGACAGCTGCCAGGTGCCGGGGACAACTGGAAGGGATGGCCGAGGAACGGAGACCCAGACTCTCCCAAGGACTCCGGCAACGGGCTAAGATTACAGGCCACTTGCTGAGGTATCTGGTCTGCATTAGAGAGGTCTTGCTGAAGGAATTCGTAGTCGGGATCATAGTGATCTGCATTCACAACGGGAAGAACATGACCCGTCAGTCACGAGGCCCCGCAGAAAGAAACAATCCAACCCTCCCCTTAACCCGGTGCCATTCATCACAGCGTGAGGACACAGCATCCCCGTCTCATCTCTGTGCTTCATTTCATACTCCTCATTCTTCTCCCTGCTTACAGAAGTAAAGCCGAGTGGGAAGATGGCTGTTTGCTTATTTGCCTCCATCGTTTGAATTTCTTACGAAAGAAAGAAAGGAAGGAAGGAAGGAAGGAAGGAAGGAAGGAAGGAAGGAAGGAAGGAAGGAAGGAAGAAAGAAAGAAAGAAAAAGAGAAATAAAAAGAAAGAAAGAAAGGAAGAGAAAAAAGAAAAAGAAAGGAAGAAAAAGAAAGGGAGATAGAAAGAAAAAAGAAAGAAAAGAAAGAAGAAAGGAAGGAAGAAAAGAGAAAAAGAGAAAAAGAAAGAAAGAAAAGAAAGAGAAGAAGAAAGAAAGAAAGAAAAAGAAAGGAAGACAGAAAGAAAGAAAGAAACAAAGAGGCATGACCACTGTAGGAAATGTGGCAAAAAAAAGAAACCAAAATCAAGAAAATAAAACTCATCCACAACCGCATTACTTAACTATCACCTGTTTACCATTTGACGTATTTCCTTACATGTCTTTTTTTCCCCCCTAGGATTCATTTTTTAAACACCCAACTGGGAAAATACTAGGTCAGTGGTCTTGGATTCTGGCCATCACTCAATGCATCACGATTGACTTTTCAGAGCTATGTATCACTCCACCAAGCGGATGCATGACGGTTCGTCGGATTCCCTGACACTTGAGTAGTTGGCTTTGCTTCTGGGCCACCAGTACTCCCAGTCGTGCAGGGAGTAACGTCCTGGGATAGATCTTGCCACAGGGACGCCCGGGGCTTAGTCAGTTACGCGTCTGACTGTCGATTTCAGCTCAGGTCATTATCTCGTGGTCCCGGCACTGACGGCTCGGAGCCTGCGTCTGTCTGTGTCTCCTTCTCTCTGCCCCTTCCCCACTCAAGCGCTCTCTCTCTCTCTCTCTCTCAAAAGAAATAAATAAACATTAAAAAAAAGAAATCTTGCTACAAGCTTCTGATTAAACCCTCAAAGTGAAATGTCCAGCTCACGGGACACGAACAGCTTCATGCTCTCGGACCCTGGCACCAAGCTGCCTTTCGGACTCTCCTCCGGCCCCCGCGGCACGCGCTCAGCACCGACCGGGAGGTCAGCATGTGCTGCCCACCTGCCCTCACCCTCCGTCAAAAGCCGTCAGGGGCTCTCCCCGTCATCTGTAGCTCTGAGCACAGATGGCTCTTAATTTTGGCCACGGGAGTCAGATCACACACTGCCGGATTAACCACAGTAATAGCCACCATCTGAGCATCTCCCAGGCAGTTTCACATGGTTGTTCCATCTAAACGTTCAACCTCCTGGGGACAGACAGATACCGGCAGCCCCATCTTGCAGTCGAAGAGACAGATCAGGGTCGTAGGACCAAGGCTGGCATCGCCGTATGACCCCAAAGCGGCCACCAAGAAGCGGAGAGACAGGAGAGGTGAGAGATGGCTGAGCCCACCTAGTGTTTCACAGCTTGTGTTCCGGGAGCACTGCCCGCTGTCCCTGTCCAGAGAGGACAGCTGCTCGTCTGACTTGCTGAGCTTGCCCATGCTGCTGCAGGGGGACAGGCGGGGCGATTCTCCGCCGTATGAGTGGCTGCCTCCTGACAGCCGCCTCTGTGTGTAACAGTCCACGTCAAAATCCTGGTGTGGAGAAATGAAAACCAGGCCCAAGTCACTTCTGAGAAATGGTGGCAGAGCCCAGGGGAGAGGAATCGGTACACTGACTTAGAGGAGACTGCCAAGCTCAGAAACTGGCTGCAAAGGCCCGTCTTTGATGTAAGCACTAACAAGCTGCGTCTGTGACTCCTGAGAAAGGAGCCTTTACGAGTGCCGGGAGTGCGTCGCCAGCGAGGGCCCCAGGGCCAGCCTCAGATGTCCACAGGAGACGCTCTTTGGCTCCAGCCTCCCCACCCCGACCTCCTCCCCCACGCGGGAACTTCCACCCCGTCTGGTGGCCCCGTACAGAGAAGGAACGGTCCTCCCACTGCCAGGGGCTGAAGACCACTGGGTTTCTTTTCGCCTCGGGAGCCAAATTCCCACACCCAAAGCCTTCCTCTGCCTTCCAGATGGGGCGACATTACCTGCCTATTAATTCCAACGGGCAAACTGGAACCACTGGTGGCCCGACTCATGGGGGCCACGACGGCCACTCGGGTCGGGGACGGAGCTGACTGTCTTTTCTTGGGTGGCAATGCTGGTGGAGGACTGAAATAGATTGAGAAATCCTATCAAACCGAAAACCCAAACAGAAGCTCTTTAAAAAGGCGTCAGGGTACAGAATGTGGGATTCTCTCATTACCAGACACTTCACACCTACTTTGAACACTTCTAACTCCCGTCCCACTCCACTGCTGCCAAAAGAAAACCTATCAATGCCAAAACACCAAGAATCAGAAACATCTTTTCTCTTCCTTCCATAGTAAGTCGTACGAAGGCTAAGAGGCAAGCCGCTGGGAATTCTTGGAGGGCGCGGCAAGGGCGGGCGCTGGGGCCGGGCTCGCGTCCTCCACAGATGATCCTCCCCAAGGGTGATCAAGATTCCAAGGCTTCTAAAGAGCGAGGGGCTGGGTTCCAAGTTCTTACCCTAATGGCACCGTCTTCGTTTCGGTTCATCTACCCACCCATTTATCAGATTACATCATAAACAGAAGAGGGTGCCAGAAAAACAAAAAATTACCTATTGTCAACCACCCGAATGCCAGGTAAGGGGGGTTTGGGGGGCGCGACCTCTTCATCTGTAGAGTCTGGAAGCAGCTCGGCTGACTGGGACAGGCCACTTGTCTTGTTCAGAATCTCCATCTCTCGATCTGTCAGGGGGACTTCAGACTGGCTGGAGGATGAGAAGAACCTGGGATTACAGAAGGTTACAGAGCACACGCAGGTCCCGAGCGGGGCAGGATGTGACCGGGCCATGGAACCGAGGCAGGGCACCGGGCTGAGCAGCAGGAGCCCTGGACCCTGTCCCTGGAGCTCTATGGCACAGATGGGGTTTCACGTCTGTTTGATCACCAAAAATAGCAGGAGTTCGGCCAGGACCCCCCAACTGCATCTGTTTCCTTGTCTGTAAGAGGAAACCTCAGAAGACATGGTCTAAAGGTTCTCGACATGCTCCAAATTATTATGTTTTATATTTTTACTAGGAGCTTGTAGCAGAAATGGTTACAAGGCCTTGAAACTGTCCACACCGCCCTCAGCAGTTTACTCTCTTGATGAAGCTCAGTTCTCTCAAGCCCAATCCCCAAAACCCAACCCTCTAAGCTCTTTCCAGTTACGGAGGGAAGTGGCTCCGGAAAAGCACAGGTGGGGGTCATGGTCTCACGCAGCAGCCTGAGAAAGAGTCACGCTGACCACTAACCCTGAGATCAGGCAATACTTCAAAACATGAGCAAGCTGGACACACTTTAAAGCAACACAGGCCACCAACAGCCTACCTGATGGGGCTCACGCTCTCTCTCAAGGGGAGACCCAAGTGGCCAGTGGCTGGAGGGTTTAGTCAGAACTCACCCGTCAGGTCTGCAGGCTGGGGAACTGGGTTTCACTGGGCTGGTTGGAGACGGATGCCCCTGCTTCTCGATGGTAAGTCTGACCAGCTCCTGTACCCCACACAAGAGAGAAGCCATGAGGCACTACGACAGCTCCTTGCTGCTCGGTTCTCACCCCAAGGCAGGTCAGCTGTCTGTCCTCCGCCCAGTCTCTTTTTGTGCCTGGAGATTTCCCGCACACCGTTAATGCAAGTACTGTTCGATTTAGATAATCTGAACTTCCCAAAATGTCCCCTACCCTCCAAAAAATACCTTCATAGCGTGTTGAGACGTTTCAAGATACATAAAGGTACTTCCTCTTGGAAGAGGGAAATGACAAACCCTGCTGTCTCAAAATGACGAAGTTTAACACTGAAATTACATTCCAGCAGAACAGATTCCCAGCCACTTTGTGGGGGGAGAACTACTCTTTAGTTCCTGAAAGCCATTAAATTACATCCTATAACGTGCAGGGCGCTGCCTATGTTAAGGAGCAAACCTCCAGCATGGGGAGGGTGGTTTCCCAAAGCGAGGTGGCCCCGGGTGTGGCGGCAGCTGGTATCCCGAGATGACTGGTCAGCATCTTTGTTGACCGACAGAAAGTTAACGGCCTATTACCCAGTGGAGACGTGCCTTTGGAAAATATATTTTTTACACAGAAAAAGAGAGAAAGATCAGGGCCTGCTTGTTTGTGTTTTTTTTCTCAACTAGAATGCAATTTTCCCCAGTTTGATGGGGTCTGATGATCACAAATACCCGTGTAAATACCACCGAAAAAATACCGAACATTTCCGCCGCTCTCTCCAGAGCCTCTGCCCCACCCCAGCCATGGTTTTACTTCTGTTTCGCAGATTACATTTGCCCAGAACTTGACATAAATGGAACCATTACAGTATGCACTCTCCTGCACGCATCTTGTCTGAACAGCTTTGTGGGGCGATCTAACTCACGTGCCGTAAAAGCCGGCGCGATGGTTTTGTCTGCTCGCGGTGGAGCTGCCCTCAGCACTGCGACTTTTACAACTTCTGCTCCCCCACAAAAGAAGCTGTGCCCGTGACCAGCCCTTCCTCATTTCCCCCAGCAGCCGCAGCTCCGGGCAACCACCATCCTGCCCTGCCCTGTCTCTATTCTGCTTCTCTCTTGCTCAGTATGACCGTCCACATCATCAGGCGCACGAGGAATCTGTTCCTTCTCGTTGCTGAGTTATATTCCAACGTATGCACAAACCTACGTCTCTTTATCCATTCTCCTGTTGATGGACATCTGGGTAAGACCTGTTTGCGTCTGGGGGCAGGGGGGAAGGTTCAGTATTTCAGCACGAATATCCATTTCTAAGTTACAGAGGAGGCAGCAATGGGCGTGAGTGGGCAACATCGACGTGCCCCTGAATGAGACTGCAAGGCCTCTCCACACTCAAAATGCCACAGACACGAATCACAACACATGGGCTAAGGCAAGGTTAATATCGTCCCTAGCACAAGGATTCTGTCAGAAACATGAAAACTAGAAGAAAAAGACAAATACATCAAAACTAATACCAAAGAGGAAACTCACAGACATAAACATCAGTGCTCAATAGTCATCAGGGACTCTCCAGCTTTGATGGTAACAAAACAGAACCTTCCAGACACGGTAGGTAGGAGTAGTCCTTTGAGAACAGCCTTCTTAGAGGATGATTTGTCAGTACGTGTCAAAATTAAATATCTGTACTCTTTTTATAAGAATTTAGCCCAAGGAGGGGTGCCTAGGTGGCTCAGTAGGTTGAGCGTCCGACTTTGGCTCATGTCATGATCTCACAGTTTGTGGGTTTGAGCCCTGCCTCGGGCTCTGTGCTGACAGTTCAGAGCCTGGAGCCTGCTTCGGATTCTGTGTCTCCCTCTCTCTCTCTGCCCCTCCCCCAGTCGTTCTCTCTCTCTCTCTCTTTCTCTGTCTCAAAAATAAATAAACATTAAAACAAATTAAAGAAAAAAAGAATTTAGCCCGAGGAAAACGTCATGGATGTATGCAAAAAATAAGCTGCAAAGGATGGTCATCACAGCATTATATGTAATAGATAAAATTAGACTCAATGCTCTGTAACCAGATAGTTAATATTAGATACAGATTGTGTCAATTACGACAGAACCAAGCAACAGACCATTACGTTGCCAATACAAGTCAAACTCGTGAGAATATATGATATCACGGAAAGAAAATGTAATACAATGTTTGGTGGAAAATAGCTCCAGGTGGTCCCATGGCAGATATACAGTATGTTTTGGAAATAAATCGTAAACAAGAAGGGGCCCCCAGGTGGCTCAGTCGGTTAAGTGTCCGACTTCGGCTCAGGTCATGATCTCACGGTCTGTGAGTTCGAGCCCCTCATTGGGCTCTGTGCTGACGGCTCAGAGCCTGGAACCTGCCTTGGATTCTGCGTCTCCCTCTCTCTCTGCCTCTCCCTAACTCATGCGCTCTCTTTCAAAAACAAACAAACACTGAAAAAAACATTTTTAATGGAAACAATACACATCTAGAAAGAAAGTATGGCTATGAAACACCCCTAATTTTCTTGCTTTTGTTTCTTTGCGTTTTTGTAAATTTTCTATAATGAACACGTGTTACTTCTGAAATACTAATTAAAACGAGAAAATACAACCAAAGGCATGCTCAGTACAGCTGGAATCAGCATCACCCCACTCTGTAGGACAGGACAGTGGCTGCCTATTCTTGGAGACACAGAAGTAAGATCTCTAAGAGTCAAGTACTAGACAAAGAAAGGAGAATGTTCCTATGTTCCTGTTCTCACAATTTACAAGTTAAGTAAAATCTCATGGGCACTTGGAGACTAGTTACCTAGCTGGTGATTACGGCCAGGACGAGACTGAAAGTAAGGAGACAGATGATGGGTTGAGGAGAGAAAGCAGGGAGTGGGAGGGGGAGCAAGTCGCCGGGCTGCACAGAAGAGCATCGCTGTGTCAGAGGGCGTCAGAGGGCCAGACCAAAGCATCCTGGAAGGCCCATGTTCACATTACTCTTTTCCACAAGCAGGGCGAAGAACAGAGAGAAGTATGTGTCCTCGCATCGGCTGACGTAGGAGAAAATTCCACTAACTCTTCACTGATTCACGAGCAATTATGATCAGCATGCCATCTTTCTGGAGGGGCAGCTGAGCAACGGTGCAGGAGTCACGGAACGATGGGCACATCAGCACAAGCGCGCACCCGAACTCCCACACGACGACGTGGTGGCGGAAAGTCTCCCTTCCGCCGGTTTGCCAGCCTTGGCTCACGGAGGGGTGCAAAAGGGGCAGGCAGCTTTTCCACCCCTACCACCCTTCTGGCCCCAGAAGGAGGCAGAAGGGAACCTCCAGAAGGTGCGCGCGTCTGGCTACTGCACCAAAAACCTAATCTCGGTCAAAGCTGGCCATGGGCAGTGCGGCAAGAGCCTGACTCCTACTAAAGGCAGAATTTCCGAGAGGGATGTCAGACTTTTCAGCCCTCTTGAGGCACAGGTGTGAAAAGACCAGACTGTGCGCACAGCCGGTGACTGTGAACCAGACAGCGACCGGTCCACTGAAGAGCAGTCTTCAAAAGCCAAAGGGTATCGGGAAGAGTATCTTTCTAAGTGCATAATACTTTATTTCTGTGCTCATTTTATTCGTGCTGAAAACGATCACAGCGATGTTCCCATCTTGAGTGACCTTCAACAAGCCAAAGTACGAGCCGTGGTCCTCCCATCTCCTCCTTGGCACTAAGACAAAGCCCCCGTCCGGCAGAGAGCACACGGGCCGCACAAGGGCCCCTACGAGGTGCGGCCACGGGCAACATTCCTAAGAGCGGCTGCCACGCTGCCCCTACCAGTGGGCACCACACCGTGGCCAATCCTCCCAGGCTCACACGCCGTGCCTGAGAAGCGCACCAGTCTACGGGCAGTGGCCACCAACCCTGCTCCCCCCTCACCCCGGCCCCTCGCTGTCCATCCTCAGTCACCTTCTGGCCCCTGTGAGTCTTCTGGGTTCAGGCCATGACAGAGCCCCTCTACTGCTCAGCGGTCCTAAGACAAGTCCTTCGCCAAGGACACCGCACGGAGGCCACCAGTTGGGAGTTTCCCAGACCGAAGCAGCAGAATGAAATCACAGGGGTGTCTAGCTTTTTCATGGTGAAAAGAAGGGACCTTCCCACCTGAAGTCTGAGGGGTGAGGCAGCCACAGAGCAGAGGAGGTGGCCTCCTTCTCCTGTGCAGCAAGCACTGGGGAACAAGTGGGCTGGGCAGTGAGGGACTCCCGAAGTCAGCTCTCCGAGGGCCACTCCAGCCGCAAGACACTGGCTGTCATTCCTCAAATGGACTAAAGACAAGGCAGCCAGAGGAGATCTCAGATTCAGTGTGGGAGGAAAAAAATTAAGACACGAGTCTGATGAGGTTAAGTGAAAACCCCGGTGGTGCTGAATGCGAATTGCAAGTACCAGCAGAAACTCCAGATGTGTTTTGTCTTACAGAAACTAACCACGTGACCCACCAGCAGCGATGAGAACATCAGCCCTCAGTGTGGTCTCTAAACGGGACTTCCCAGCAAAGGGAAGCAGGGCTCCCTAAAGGAACGGCTGATTCCAGTTCTGTGGTAAGCAATGTACAAGGTACCTTATAACTCAATAATAAAACGAAAGCCCAATTTAAAAATGGGTAAGGCCGGTGCCTGGGTGGCTCAGTCGGTTAAGCATCTGACTTTGGCTCAGGTCATGAACTTGCTCTTGTGAGTTCGAGCCCCGCATCGGGCTCTGTGCTGATGTCTCAGAGCCTGGGGCCTGCTTCGGAGCCTGTCTCTCTCTCTCTCTCTCTCTGTCCCTCCCCCACTCATGTGCTCGCTCTCTCTCTCTCTCTCTCAAAAATAAATAAAGATTAAAGAAAGACTTTTTTTAAATGGGCAAAGGACTTGAACAGACATTTCTCCAAAGAGATACACAGACGGCCAATAAGCGCACGAAAAGGGACTCCATATCATTAGCCCTCAGGGAAATGAACATCTGCCAAAAAGCACAGGTGGGAATGGAGGCCGTGGAGAAGCCGGAGAGGCTGAGGCCCGCATCCACGGCAGA